GCTTGCTTCCTAAAGTATATTAAGTAATTAATAGTTCAGAAATTCAATACAAAAGTCATTTTATTGAGTATCTGAATTGAATGGATTAAATATGGTACGCTACACTTTGGGAAACAAATGAACAGTATAATATATTGGTTAATTAATATATTACTGCTTGCTTCCTAAAGTATATTAAGTAATTAATAGTTCAGAAATTCAATACAAAAGTCATTTTATTGAGTATCTGAATTGAATGGATTTTTGAAATTGAATTGGAAGGTTGATTTGAACCATTGAACTAATTCAGATGCCTCCAAATGGATTTTGATAACTTTGGATGCTTTTTAATGTAAACAGAACCGTTTTCCAAATTAATTCAGAAATATCAATCAAGCCATGCCATTGTGATTTGAACCTTCTAACTGAATCAGATTAGTTTTCTGAATCAATTTAAATCATCAAATAGAATCTAATCAATTTTAAAATTAAATAATAGTTAACATTGGATTGTGCATGTTTTGCATTAGCTTGGTCTTAAACTCTAAATATTGACTGCACTTCTGTTTGCACAGACCACAAACCTTTTATACCACATTTCGTATAAAATCTTTTATATGTTTTAAAATGAGTACAGAAGAAAAATCTAATACTGACAATGAGAGGCAAACTTAAAAGAAAACCTAGAACCTACAGTTTTCTACCTACAAATCTCAAATGCTTAATATTTTTTTTCTCCAGATCGTTTTTGTTCCTTTTCCCCAATGGCTTGATGGAACTCCATAAAATAGAGAAGTCCCTGTTTATTAGGATTAGATTAGTTTTATTTATATTTCCATACCATCCGCCTTTTTTTAAACAGAAGAAACATCTTATAGTTATACTTCTGGAATGCATAGTTATGTTCTTAGAAATTTTGTAAACTAAGCAAAATACTTCAGTTATTGGGTGGACTAGAAATTTTAAGATTAAGAATAACATTAACAGAGTATATTCTTTCACATTGCTACTTCTAATGGAACACATGGCATATCAAGAACACTTAGCACTTCCAGGAAAAGAAAAAGAAAAAGATAAACTCACTTATTTGGGATATATGAGAAAATTTCCGTCACCCATTTTTGCAAAGTATCCAAGGTTTCTAATCAGGAGAATATTTAAAAAGGAAAAGAATCATGAAAGGTAAAAATTACAGAGAATAAGAGGGAAGTTGACAATTCGGTTATAAAAAATGAACTATATAGGTATGTATCAAATGTCTATGCATGTGTAAAAGTCTCAATATGGCAATTGTGCATTTATTTGAAGATGGAATTTCCTGTGGCTTAGTGACTGACTATGAATCCACAAAAAAGTACCCCATCTTCCTCCTCTGAACTCTTGAAAGAACTCTTTTTGATAGGAACCAGAATCTTTGACACCAGGAGCCTTATTTTTGCAGCAGGGATGAGAGTTCACGTCTTGTGGGCCACTTCAGTCTAGTAGGAGCCCTGAGATCATGCCACAGAAATATGGTGGCAAACTAACCAGATTTCAGTAGTGCAATTTTTAAATACAAAGTTAAGGGTAAGAATGGGAGTGGGAGACCTCTAACAGACAAATCTCTCCTATCCCTGTTCCTAGCTCCGATAAACCCCTGAAATCTTTCCCAAAATTGGCCTGAAAAACATTGCAGTTAAAAGTTCATATTTAACTCCTCGCGCAAAGCATCATGCTGTGGGCAATGAAGCCAAGTAACCTGGTTGTCCATGCCAGTTGAGATGTCCTACACCCCCTCATCAAGTCTCTTAAAAGTCATCCTCACCCCTATAGCCTCATTTTGGCTATATTAAGTTTGGCATATTAAGGATGCATTTGCACAGAATCAGCCACCTTCTACCCCTAGTTAACCAAGCTGAAGCACATTAAATGTGCTTCAGCTTGGTTAACCAGGGGCTGTATTTTTCATTCCCCCAGCTGCCACA